TGGTGGCCCTGCACGTCGCGTGTGGTCCCCACACCGCGGAAATCCAACGTGCGCGCGGCGGCGCCCCGCCCCGGCAAAAAGACAAAAATCATCCGGCCTCTGTGCCGGGGCAGTACAGAAAGTATCCTCCTCCCCCCCATCCTCCTCCTCCTCCTCCTCCTCCTCCTCCTCCAACAGCTGTATACGATAGAGCCGCGTTACGACGGGGCAGTACAGTCGGCCAGTATCAGAAGGATGCGCGATAAGGATGCGAGGGCTCTGGGCGCCCATTTTGAAACTTCTGAAGCGGGGCGCGGCCCGCGAAAGTGGCGAAGGATGGACCGAGGAGGCAATGATGCAGGGGTACCCTTGGGAAGGTTGCCCATCCCTAGCATGCGGGTTGACTGTAGCCGCAGTGGCGGAGATCGTCATGCCCATCTTGGCAGCTGGCGAGACACGGCGATGGCTTGGTAGTCCAACTGCCCAGGAGTGCTGTGAATAGTTACGGCGGCCCACGCGCAGGGCGGCACCACTGGCCCAAAGCGGCGGAGGGTAGCTTCGAGGAACTGCGCCTGGCGCCCCAGAGGAGCGAGAAACGGCAGACGGGCCGGTCTGCGGTGCAGGTGTCAGAAGAGCCCCTGCGCGTCACGAGTGCAGAGTACCTCTCCGCACCGACGCTGCCAGCACTGTTTCGGGGCGGGGGACGTGGACGAGTCTTGCAGCAACAGATCCATGCAAAGCTCCTGGGTCGTCGCCACCGTTTCGAACTGGCCGGCGCTGCGTCTCGAGGGCCGTGCTGATGAAGCTGCCGTCGAACCAGTTGGCCCAGGTGGCGAGGTGCTGCAAGTGGTCCGACAAGGGGCGGGCACGTTGAAGGCGCCACGCGCGACGGGAAACCTGGAGGTCACCATGTGATGCATTTTCCACCGATGCATTGGAAGCCGGTCCACAAGAAACCTTCCACACGAAACCCAACCCTGAAACCCCAGGAGGTCCATTGACTTTTGGCGTGGGAGCGACACGCCTTCCATTGCAAAACCATCGAAGCCCAAGAAAGGCAAGCAGGGTGTTTCTTGGCATGGGCCGCCCCATGTAAACCCGACATGTGGCTCCCTGCGTAATGGCCTCGGCATTGGGCAGTTCAGCTGCGAACCCCAAGCTCCAGAGGTGCTGCAAGGAGGCCTGGGGTGGCCCAGCCCTGGGCTCCAGGGGATAGAGCCGCGAGGAGCCGCTGTCGTATCTGCGGCCAGTGAGTGCGTGGGTAAGCGGCCCAGCTGCGTCGCAAATCCTGCGAGCGGCAGGGAAGAGGAGAGAAGGTGAAATAAGAGAAGGGGGGGCCCGCGAAACCAGCTGGCGAGGCGGAAAGGGGGGAAGGGCACGACGAGGGGCATCAACGATGCGGGCAACGCTCAGGTGTCGAAGAGGAGGGGCGGGGAAAGATGCAAGGGCGGGTGCCACCCCAGTGCCTTTTTCATTTTTTCTCCAATTAAAGGATTGGGCGCGCAACGCTGCATTGGTCATGTCAGCATCCCGAACTCAGGAAGGCAAGGGTGTTTACTTTTTGGCAAGACCAGGAGGCTTGAAGGGCGCTGAAGCTTCTATGGCAACTGCAAAAGTCCCCATGGGCTCCGTGGAAAACGGTCGTGCTTCAGCACGAGCAATTCGCCCTCCGGCGTGCGCGGGCGGCGGCGGGGGGGGCAGCTGACGTCCCAGCTCGAGCATCTCCATCATTGCCGAGGGCACATCCAAGTGAACACGCACTACAGCAGCTTGCCACAAGCCCCGATGCCCTTTTCAACCAGGGCAGATTTGGAGTGCGCTGCAAAGTAAACGCAAGAGGCAGCAGCATATCAGACAGTCACTAAACTGTCATTCGGGAGCGAGCCAACCAGGCCCAGTCCTGACCTCGTTCCAAGCTTCTGCGGCAGCCTTGCGCCGACGAGCGAGCAAGCGCAAGTGGGCCTCGAGCGCTTGAGAGGCGGTGCCAGGGAGGCCAAGTCTGGCAGAGTGGTGAGCGGGAAAAGAACGCGTCGCGTTTACATGTGCGCAGAAACGAAACGCGAGGAGGCAGGATATATAATTTGACAATGGTTAGAAGCCACGGGGCCCAAATAGGGGCCATGCGAAATCGTGGGCCCATCCATCTGAAGCGAATCTCGCGACGGATATGGCAGAACCTGCAATGGCGAAGATTGTCGCGGTCTCTGCGCGCGTCGAATCCATGCCCTCTGTTCGACTGCCTGGAGATGCAACTGCAAGGGCCGGAGTGGCATCGAGCACTTGTGCACGCGCGGCGAGCGCATATTCGTAGAACGCCCGCGGCGAACCGTGGATGCGAGGCCGCCGCGTGATGGCGGTCTTGGGGGGCGACGTGGGCGAGGTCAGAGCAGTCGACGTCAGGCAGCCAGATCTTTCGGCCGATAAATGGGGCACGCGAAAGGCGACGGCCCGGGCGGGGGCAGAGCGCGGAGGCGAGCGTGAAGGTTTCGCTGGAAAGCCTCAGGCTTCAACTCGGAGAGACGAACAACACCGCGGGCAAACTGAGTGCGCTCGAACGCGTCAAACAGGACCGACCGTCGACGCCGACATTGCGGATCTGGAGCCCGGGCACGACAGACTGCATTGCCGTCGGGCACGCGCTTGGACCGCGCCCGACAATCGCCGGCGCCGGGAAACTTGCGGGCCAGACGTGCGCTACGGGGGATAGATGGGGCAGAGATGGCGTCCCAATCGAAAGCCCGAGCTTCTCCATGGGCGCAGGCGGACCATGCGATAGCGCGCGATTCGAGCAACCAGTTAACCATTGCAACATGTGCTCATGCGCTCTCTTGTCGAGCGGCGCGAGAGGTTCCACTTGCGTCGCGCGGCGGATCGACGCATCGTTCGAGAAGTGGCAACAGAGATGGCATGGCTGGGGGGGGGGGGCCGGCGGTGCTGGGCGCGTCGGGCAGCGCGCCTCGCAAGCGGGACATTCCGCGCCGCTCCGGCGGGGGGCCGAGGTGCAGGCCCCCGCAAGTCCCATTCCTCCTCGCCAACTGATTTGCTTTCCTGGCACCTCCCCCCTCTTCACCCTCCTGGGCTACAGGAAGTGCAATTGCTGAACTTCAGGGCTGGCCCCGTCGCCCCGTCGAGCGCGGGCGAGGGGCGCCGAACAGCTGGCGGCGCACGGGGCGCATTGACTAATCAGAAGAGACAGTCTCAAGCATTGGCGCGACGCGACGACGCGCGAACTGACAGGGGTCGCTGAACCCAGCGTGCATCTCGGTTTCCGTCAGGCCCGGGCATGAGGAATTACGGCGCCGTTTGATCAGCCCGCAAAACTCACCAAAACTCACCGCTCGTCTTCGGTGCCGGGGGCGGGTTTTACATGGGCGGGGGCCTCGCGGCACCTCGGCCGATCTCCAGGGGCCTCGAGACCCCCCCCCCCGCGCCAGCAGGTGAGCATCGCTTGGCCGGCCCCCGCCCCCGCCGGCGTGGCTCGGGCCCCGCCGGCTGGTTGACCTAGATGGGGATATAGGCCGCCCCCTTCGGGTCTTGAAAGGTAGATCCCGTCCCCGACTGGGTTGCTGAGATGTTGGGGGTCTGGATAGGGGTGGGAATGGATGGGGATCGGTTGGACTATACTGGGTAGTTAGCTGGGTCTGCGGCGGAGCCGGCGAGCGAGGCGCAGAGCTTTTCCTGTTTCGCGCAGCTCGGCGGCGCGGCAGGCGCGGCACCTGGGCCTCCTTCGCGACTCCAGCTTGCGCCGAAGCTTGCCCGGAGCTGGCGTCGCAGGAGTCAGCAGTGAGATTCTTGTCGCCGTTCACTTGCTGAACGCGCAATGTCTGGGTAGGCAGCCTGCGGGGGGAGGTCGGCGCATATCATCGCGCCGAGGTCGCGCAACCGCTGCAGCGGCGGGTGGCAGGCCGAGCCAGGGCCCCGCGCGCAAGATGGCCCTGCCTAGATCTCAAGCCACGAAGGGGGCCATGCACCGGTGTTGCTGCTCCGGCAACTTCTCTGCAAAATGATTAGAGAGGCGACTACGAACACGAGGGTGTTGGCAGCCGCGGCGTCTAGCGCATCGGGCTCGGCTTTGCGAGCTTCGAGATCGCGGTCGAAAGCCCATCGGTAAATCTCGCCCTTCCTGAACCACTTGGAATGGCGGCGCTGCCCCCCGGCGGCGGGCGGGCGAAATTTACCTGCGCGGGCGGGGCGGGCGTGATCGGGGGCTGCCGCTTGGCAGAGCTTGCCGATAGCAGGGGTTTGAGCCGTGGTATCAGCAAGGCCAGCGTGAGGCGGCGCCGAGCATGCGCGACCGCGTTTCGAGTCGCGCGCGCTGCCCCCATCCCTTAACCCCCGCCCAGTGTCATCTGCGTGTGGGGACTTCAATCCAACTGGCGCATCGCTGTTTACATATTTCATGATGACGGCCGCCCCTTCTGGACCACCCGCGCCCTGCTCTTCCAGCGTTAAGTTCGAATCCCCAAGGATCATCGAGAACCCTTGCTCAGCAGGGGGTAGCGCTTCCAGAGACTCATTTACAGAGCCATCGTAGACCCGCAACTGCTTGCGTGCGTTCGGTTTGCGTACATCCATCAGCCATGACGCCCAAGGGGCGCCCCCCCTGGGCGACATGGCGCGCGGCGCGGAAAATTTCCGGGCATGCTTTGGGGCCAGACTGGCGACGAACCCGCTGGCAAGCGCAAGATCGGAGAAAATGGCGCCACCCGCGTTGGAGATGCGAAGCTTGTTTTGAGGCGCAGCCAGGTCAGCGACCCTCTGGTTCCCCATGCACAGACGACCTGGAACATGCGACGCGCCCCCAGGAATCTAAGCCGCGGCATCTCAAAAGAGCACTCGCTTGACGACGCGACCGACCTCCAGCAGATGGCCCACGAGAAACCCAATGCGCAAAACTGAATGACGAAGCTGGAAAAAAAGGCCACCGGCGAACTGCGAGCCGGCCGCTGGGCCAAGCCGGCGGCGGGCCGCTGGCGGGCAATGCGAATCCAGAGCCAGCCGGACAGTCGCCCTGCTTAGGATCAGAGGATGTAGAGGGCGAGCGCTAAGATGATGACGCAGTACTTAAACAACGCGAACTCGCACTCGCACGCGAAGAGATGGCCCGTGCCCCACAGGCCGCATAATACCGCGCCGTAGACGCGCAGGTGACGCTGGCTGCAAGGCCCTCGCGGCTTGGCGTAGATGAAGCTTGTCGCGTCACTTGTCAGTCGCGGCAAGCGTCGATCCACTTTTGCATGAGCTCCATGGTGATCCCCCAGTAGCGCAGGTCCCGCGTTCGGCGTGAGCTGGAGACGCGGGAGTGAATCAATTTTGGCCAGCACGAAGTGGTCGGACTCAGAGCGAATGACGAACTCGTTGCGGAACCCAGTAGCGCCAATCTTGAGCGTCGACTCGAATTTTCTGCTGTTATGAAGGTGCTGGACCACAGGGCCCCCATTTTGGACGTGTAGCGTTGGCGGTGGCGAGTGTCATCAGACACATCAGTGCGAATGCGAAACGCGCGAGGCTTGGAATCGCGAGCATCAGCCCACTTCATGTCCTGACCGACAAACCAGTACTTGAACTCCGTGGCAAGATCGGACGTGGCGAAGTTGACGGCGAAGTTCTTGCTGGTCTTAGCAAACTTGGCAGTACTGCCCACCAGAAGATGAGCAACACACTTTGGCTGCAACTGCTCCTTCATTTTGCGGAGAGTCGGGTCGAACACCGCCCAGGGATATCCTGAACTCCGGAGCCGGCAGGAACCAGTTGCGTTAGCATCTGCTGTCTGTGGTAGCGCCACCTGTCGTACGCTGCCGTTGGAAGCCCATGGTCGTAGAGGCCGCCGAGGACGACGTCGAGTGGAGCTGCTTCTCGGTTTCAGTCTGCTTGGACTAGAGCTCTTCGAACTTCGCCACCAGCGCCGCCATCCTGCCGTCGATTGCCTTCACCTAGCTGGTAAACGACTTGTTAATCTCCTCGACCCTCCGCCAAATCCCCGCGAAACCGCGCTCCACGAAGGCCGTGGACCAGACGGGCGCAGCTGCTCCACGGCGCATGTGCAATATACACACCAAGAGATGCCGAAAGGGCGGACAGCACCCGAAGCAGTGTGCTTGGTGGCCGAAGAGGGCGGGACTTGTCCCAAAGTCTGAGCCTCCTTGTCGGCTGCGCTCAAAGTTCGAACTCGCAGGAGCAAGTTTGAGAGTTGAGCCAGCACGACTTGAGCCAAAATGGCAACGGACAGAAGGGGGAGGAGGATAATAAGTAAGAAAAGATGAATCAGGAAACTCCCGAGTAGGAGGATGAGGAAAAGGAGAAGGAGAAGGAGAAGGAAAAGGAGGAGGAGGAAAAAGAGGAGGAGGAGAAGGAGGAGGGACGGATCTGGAGTAAACTCAAGAGAAGGAGGGAGAGGAGGACGAGGAGGACGAGGAGGCAGGAATGCAACGTAAACGCGTGCTGTTTGTTCCTCCTCCCTTCCTCCAACCTCCTCCTCCTCCTCCTCCTCCTCCTGCTGCTGCTGCTGACTGATCCTCCTCCCTCCTCCTCCTCCTCTTCCTCCTCCTCCTCCTCCTTGTAAAAACCCTCGTAGTCCTCCTCCTTCCTCCTCGACTTGCTTCGCTCATTCTTCTTATCCTTATTATTATCCTCCGTTTCCTTATCTCCTCCCTCTCTGGCTGTTTCTGCTCTCTTGATGCATGGGTTGCCCACAATTGCCTCTTTCACCTCATCCTCATCCTCCGACTTCTCCTCCTCCACCTTCTCCCCTTCTCCTCCTCCTCCTTCTTCTCGTCCTCCCTCTTTTCTCCCCCTCCCCATCCTCCTCCTCCTTCTCCTCCTCCTCCTCCTCATCATCATCATCATTTGCCTCCTCCTCATCCTCCTTCTCCTGAGCCTCCTCCTCCTCCCTCCTCAAGAAGAGCCTCGGAGGCCCCCACAGGTCTCAGGAGGTCTTCGGAGGCCCAGCAAGGCTAACAAAAACATCCCGAAACCGCGACCCACTTCCTAACCCCTCCGTCTGCTTCCTCCTCCTCCTCCTCCTCCTCCTCCTCCTCCTCCTCCTCCTCCTCCTCCTCCTCCCGATCTTCGTCCTCGTCCACAAGGGACTTCCTCCTCCTGGCGCGCCCGGAATGGGGACAGAACCCTAGTGACGCTGCCCAGCAGCAAACGCCGTGCCAAGCCGGCACCGGCCGCTGTCGGGCAGGCGGCGCTGTCGGGCGGCGACGCGGGCAGCGCGAAGCCAGATCAAAATCAACAGGAGCTGCTGTCCGTCCTCGTCCACGCTACTTCCTTCTTCGTTTCCAATCCCCCCTGATGTTCCCAGCCCCCTCGGAAGCAATACCAGGGGAGGGGTCGCCACTAGGGGGCTCGCCGCCTCCTCGAGGGAGCGCCATTTCCTGGAGAGAGCGGGCTCGCGAGCTCCCAAGGAGAACTCTAGAGCATTGCGAGGACCACCCCGACGCGTCCAAAACTCTCTCCTCGAGCCTCGATCCTGGAAGCTCGCCCTCCACGGGGGAGCCAGTGGCCCCCTCCGTCGTGGGGACCCTCCAGGGCGTCGCCCGATCCCTTGAGGGCGCGCGAGGGTGGAGGCCGAGGGTGGCGCCCAGGCGGCAGATCCCACGTGGACTCCTGGGTCTCCTCGGGGGGGGGGGCGGCGGCACTGCAAGGACGGGAGCTGAAGCGCAGAGCCTCCTCACTGGGGCAGGAGGGATGCCCTGCGCAGCGCAGGGAGGGGGGGGGAGGCGGCGCTGCAAGGACGGGAGCGGAAGCGCAGGGCCGCTTGGGGCGAGGGAGGCCCCGCTCAGCGCAGGGGGAGGGGGGGACGGCACTGTAAGGACGGGAGCTGAGGCGTAAGTGAAGGGGCCCTGGGACACACAAATAAATACACACAGATAAAAAAGGATTCCCCACATCTTCCCATATCTTCTGCGTTTTCGTCTTCCCCCAATCCCCATCTTTTCCCTATCTTTTCCTGGGGGTGGACGATTCATTGTGTCTGTGTTTTTTTCCCCCTCCCGAGGAAGGCCTCTCGGGGCGAGGGAGGCCCTGCACAGCGCAGGCTCACCTGGAGAGCCCCCTCCCTACCCTTCGGGGCTCGGCCCCGCAGGGGGTGGGGCCGAGGGGCGAGGACGAGCGCGCGGGGCACCGCCAAGGGCGGGGGACCCTCGGGGGCCTGGGCGTGGAGGGGCCAGGAGCCCTCGCGCCGTCCCTGCCCGTGCCGCGCCGGCGCAGTGCAAACTCAACTTGGGAGCCCTCTGCCGTCTCTCGCGGCCGGGCGCCTCGGCTCGGCGTGTCGCGCCGCTGGCTGTGGGCCACCACGCCCCGGTCGGCGCGACACGGACAGGAGCGACACGCGGTCAACTGGCTCAGCATAGCGCTTCGCCGGGGCCGCCGCGGCGGCACGCCGAGCAAGCGCTCCTGACCGCAGATGGGCCCCATCCCTCAGGGCCCCATCTCCGAACTGCCGAGGAGCGGCGGGGGCGAGCGCGCGGGGTACGGGGGCTGGACCCCCCCAACTCGACCCTGCCCATGCTTTGCCCTCCACGGTGTGCTGAATGTACTCGTCCTCTGGCTCCCTCCAGTGCCTCCCGAACTCTTCGCTCGGTTCCCTCCTCCCATTCACCCTGGGCTCGAGGGCACGAGCCAGCTCCGCGACCCGCGCGCGCCGCCCTCGGTGGCGCGGTCCTAGCCCGGCATTATCCCCAGACATACTGGCGTCGTGGACAAAAACTACGACGGCCGACTTCTCTTGCCGTTTTCGGACCCCCCAAGCCCCTCGCCGGGCCCAGGGACTGCAACAAACACGACTCGGGAGAAGTTCTAGCGCTGGGGACCGGCTCGGGACTTCCAGGGGCTGCGTAGTGAACAAATCCATACATCGCATGCCTGGGGTGGCAGGGTGCCAGCTGCAATTCGTGGGTATCGTGCGCGCGAGTGCCAACCACCACTCGCGGGGCGAGTGTGGGCAGAGGAGGAGGAGGAGGAGGAGGAGGAGGAGGAGGAGGAGGAGGAGGAGGAGGAGGAGGAGGAGGAGGAGGAGGAGGAGGAGTGGAGGAGGAGGAGGAGGAGGAGGAGGAGGAGGAGGAGGAGGAGGAGGAGGAGGAGGAGTATCAAGGGTTTTGCATGTGTGGTGGGCCCGTCTCCAGAGACTCCTGGGAGCCTCCAGAGATCTTGCACGGCACCCACTTCAGCACAGCCAGGGTGAGGCCTCCAGCGAGCGTCTACAGACAGCACCGCGGCGATAGTGCACCTGGGCCCAGAGGGCCGCACCCGCAAGGAAGAGGCGGTCCTGCAAAGGGTAATTATCGAGACGAGACCTCTGGAGGGCTTCTCCGAAGGGCTTAGGCGACCCGTCCTCCTCCTCCTTCTCCTCCTCCTCCTCCATCCTCCTCCTCCTCCTCTCCTCCCCTCCTCCTCCTCCTGCCCCTCCTCCTCCTCTCCTCCTCCCCCTCCCCCTCCTCCAACACCTCCTCCTCCTCCTCCTCCTCCTCCTCCTCCTCCTCCTCCTCCTCCTCCTCGGGTCGCCTACGGCCCCGTGGGAAACCTCTGGGGCCCACTCCGTGAGCAAATCATGGCGCCGGAGGTCTGGATTTTGTTGCTCGTCTTGGGCCGTGGTTCCTCGATCATTCTGCACGCACGGTTTCAGCACGGCAGCGGGTTGGCGTGGTCGACTCCCGCAGCACAACGAAACGAAGCGCCCATCCCGCCACCTCGCACAGGCCCTGATATTCGACGAATCGAAGAACATGCAACATCGTGAAAAATCACGACCAGAGCCCCGGACCCCATCTTTCTGCGCCATTTTTGGAGGCGCATCGAGATGTGAGGGTCCTGGGAAGAGAGAAAAAGGGAAAGAGAGGGTGAACCAGACAATATCAACACTGGGGATGTGGACATGGGATGAGGACGATGGGGAGGCTCAGGCTCAGGGAGGAGCAGGATCAGGCAGGCAGCTCAGAATGGAGGAAGCGCGAGGAAAGAAGATGAGAAGGGAGCCAACTTGAGATGGCCGCCTCTTCTGTTTATTTGGTTTCCGAACTGACATTGCTCCGATTGTATACGACTGCATGCACGGGCGCGGCGGCTTTGGCAAGCCGCTCCCTGCCAGCCCACAACGCGCAGAATGGCATAATCTGCGTCCAAGATGGCGCTTGTTTTGCGGTTCTCCAGAATAACAAGATTTCAGGCCCCCACCGGCATCTAAGAGCCAAGGAAATCAGGAGAAACAGCCAACACATGACGAGCATGACTATGGCGATGAGGTAAAAAGGAAGATACAGCAGCGGCAGAAATCAAGAATGGACGACCACGTGTGACGATTGAGACGAAGAAATCAATAACCTGGAACGCAACGGCCTGGCAGATATAGTCATCAAATATAGATCGGCAAGAAGGCACTCCTTGTTCCAATAATAAAACGTGCTCGACGAGCTACCATAGCGCACTGGAACCCAAGGATGCGGTAGGTTGAACCTGAAGATCGGCAACGACGAAATTTTGGATGTAGAACCAGGACAGCGGATGCAACGGAAAGCGTGCATTACCATTGAATTGCATCAAGTCGTGGTGCGATCTGGGGCGATGGGTGCAGAAGCGGAGGTGCCCCAAATCGAGGCACTGAATCATGAATTGGATAGTACAAAAAGAAAAGACCGACAAAGGGGCGACATAATCGATGTCAAGCCGCGAACACGCGAGAAGGGAAGGCGCAATGAACCAGAAGCAAGCGAATCGATGGATATTAGACTGCAATCGCGCGAATTTCATTGTCCCAGTAACGCAGAACATTGTCTGAGATATCACGCCTTCTTGTTCGATCTTGGCTCCCATAAACGAAAAACGATCGAATACTCCTGGTGTTCCACCTCCTCCTCCTCCTGCTTCCCCTTCTCTTCCTCCTGCTCCTCCACCTCTCCCCCCGGCATCCCCTCCTCCCCCTTCTCCTCACACACTTCCCTCTTCGAGCACATGGGGAAAGGGAATAATTCAGCGGGCCTGCAAGGACAGCCATCAACCACGCCTGCGGGTTCCACGCCGTCGCATCCGCAGCGCGCACCGCCGCTTCCGCACCGCGTCCCCCCCTCCTCCTCCATCCGCCACCCTCCACCGGCCACCGTCACCATCTCCTCCTCTCTGTCTGTCTGTCTGTCTGTCTGTCTGTCTGTCTGTCTGTCTGTCTGTCTGTCTGTCTGTCTGTCTGTATGTCTGTCTGTCTGTCTGTCTGTTTCTCTCTCTCTCTCTCTCTCTTTCTCTCTCGGTTGTTCCTCTCTATATTTCTCTCTCTCTCTCTCTTTCTCTGCTTGTTGTTTGTGCTTCTCTCCCTCCCTCTCTCTCTCTCTCTCTCTCTGGGGCCAAACGGCCATCGACACCAACCGCTTCACGCGGGGTGCCGCCACGCCGCCCGACGGCCCACCAAGACCCCCGGGCCACCGACACGCGAGGCCCCGGGCAAACCCCGGGCCCCGCCGGCCAGCACAGGTCAGCGTTTGGCCACGCCCAGCTCCGAAGCGACAGAGAGACCACGATCCCAACTTGGCAGGCCCCAGGTCCGCCGGGACCTCCACAGGTACAGCCTGCCAGCTCAGGTCAGCTTTTGGCCACGCCCAGCTCCGAAGCGACATATATATATATATATATATATATATATCTAGAGAGAGAGAGAGAGAGAGAGAGAGAGAGAGAGAGAGAGAGAGACCACGACCCCAACACTTGGACCGCGCGCCCTGGTTGCTGAACGCCGAGAGCCTTGACGACGCAGGGGCCAACTGCGCAACACGGACTGCGGGGCCAGGGATGGGGCGGGCCCGGGCGCGGGATCTGCCGCGCCCGCCACGCCCGCCGCAGGGAAGCGCAGTGCCGGACCTGGCCCCCCGCCAGCCAGACCCGCCGCAAGGCCCGAGGAGACCCCGCTCCACGGGCGGGATGGGCCCTCAGATGGCCAACCCCTGCGGGTAGGAACGTCACTGGCCTGGGCGCCGAGCGGCATGCTGTGACCAAGCTCCGCGATCACCACAAACCCGCCGTCGTCGCCTCTCCGGAAACCAGACAGCCTGCCGACTGCACCCACACCTTGTGTTATGTTGCTCCCATCGTACTTGCGGACCACATCCCAGACATGATTTCGAGCACCCGGAAAAGTGTCGAAAGAGTGTCGAAGCAATGTCGGACGAGTGTCCCCCAGGGCCCGACACGTGAAACACCTGGAGTTCTTGGAGACTTTTCTGGTGCTCGAAATTCTTTCTGCTTGGCACATCACAACCCTTGTGCAGGAACATCCGAGCGCCAGAGGCAGGCGCCTGGCGACCAGTACGGGGCGCCGCCCCGAGGTTGACTGCGCCCAGCGGGAAGAACAACATCGTGTCGAGCCATCGCCGAGCAGTCCCACCGAACGCGGCTGCTCCACCATCCTCCTATTCGACCTGGCTCTGGCCGCCCCGCTTCCTTGCCGTGGGGGTGCCGGGTGCACTGGTGAAGCGAGGTTCGTGCCTGGGGTCATTAGGGGTGGCGGGGGATGAGGGGGAGGAGGGGGGGGGCGACCAGAATAAACCCCAAATGCATCAACCGATTCTGCAATACACCCGCCACATCTTGTTTTTTGTAACAGGATGGTGAGGGTTGTGTCGGATGGGTGTGCACCGAATTGCATTTGCTGCGTAAGATGGCGAAGGTTGAATCGGATGGATGTGAATTGGATCTTATCTATACATCGGGTGATGGAGGCTGCGCCATATTAGTGTACACCAGGTCTTATATTCTGCCTAGGATGGTGAAGGTTGGGTCGGATAACTTCTGTACATACTGGTAAAACTGTTGGGTCGGCTTGCGCCGAAAAACAAGTGGCACGTGTGCCATGGCTCTTGCACAAAAAGGAAGGGGGAGGAGGAGGTGAAGGAGGGTGGAAGAGGGGGCAAGACATCGCCCCTCGGGGCCCAACAACGGGGCCCAAATCCCAGGTGGGGAGGGGGGGGGTGGTGTGCGTCGCGACGCGGAATAAAGTGCTCGGAGCGGAGGGGGCACGGGGCGGAGGTCCCACTGGGGCGCTGGGGCGCGGAGAGGGGGGGGGAGGTGGTGTGTGCGTCGCGACGCAGAATGAAATGGTCGGGGCGGAGGGGGCACTGGGCGGGGCTTGGGGCAGAGGGCCACGGGGCGGGGGTCCAACTAGGGCGCTGGGGACGGGGGGGGGGAGGGGGGGAGGTGGTGTGCGTCGCGACGCGGAATAAAATTATCGGGGCGGAGGGGGCACGGGGCGGAGCCCCCACTGGGGCGCTGGGGACGCGGGGAGGGAGGTGGGGGAGGTGGTGTGGGTCGCGACGCGGAATAAAGCGTTCGTGGCGGAGGGGGCAGTGGGTTGGGCTCCCGCTGGGGCGCTGGGGACGCGGGGGGGCTCGGGGCAGAGAGCCACGGCGCGGGGGTCCCACTCTGGCGCTGGGGACGCGGGGGGGGGAGGGGTGCGACGCGGAAATAAAGTGGTCGGAGCTCTAGACACCCTGTGCAAGAGAATAATTATTCGCATTGGATGGTGAGGGTTGGACCCTACGTTTGTGAAGAGACTTGTGTTTTTACATAAAATGGTCAGGATTGGACCAGATGGATTTGCACAGAAAAATATAAGTATTCCATCGGATGGTGATAACTGTGTCGTGTGGATGTGCGCGACGCTGAGGCGAGAACCACATTAAAAAAAACAACCGGGATTAATCCTGCAAGCTGTTCCAAAAACTGTTAAACAAGATGTGCGCGGCACAAACGCGAGATCCACATGTTGAAAACATCTGGGGCTCCATCTTTGATTTGCTGCACGCTTTCAGAAGGAGTGTGGGCGGCGCTCAGGCGAGAGCCGTATGTTGAAAACCACCCGGTCTTCATCCCTGAAGCTGCTTGCAAGTTTTCAAACGAAAGTGCGCGGCGCTGGAGACGAGCGTCACATTTGAAAACCACCCAGGCTCCGTCCTTGCAACTGTTGCGAATTCCGAACTTGACTGTCGCAAGCGGCGAGGAAGTCTCAGGCGAAGCGCCGTCTACGGACACGTCCGATGGTGCGACAGGGAGGAATTAGCTATGAGGAACAACAGAAGAAATGGAGGAGGGGAAGAAGAAGGTGGAAGAGGAGGAGGAGGAGGAGGAGGAGGAGGAGGAGGAGGAGGAGGAGGAGGACGACGAGGACGAGGTCGAGGAGGACGAGATGAAGGAGCGGGTGGAGGAGGACGAGAGGGAGGATGTGGAGGAGGAGAGAGGGGTTGAGGGAATGCCTGTGCCTAGTGAGGATGGGTAAGAAGAGGGGGGAAGGGGGACTAGGAGGATAAGGAGGATAATGAGGAGGAGGAGGATGGACAGGAGGGGAAGGAGGATAAGGGGAGAGTGGGAGGGGGGGGAACGAGGATGTGGAGGAGGAGAGAAGGGTTCAGGGAATGCCTGCACCTGATGGCGGTCCTCCACCAAGAACTCAAGACCGAACATCGAACACGGGCGAGCACGGCGGGGGAGCTTAGCAGCAACTGGCAACACATCAAGACTGCGGCGACGATGCGGGTCTCTCCGAGGAAGACTTCCCGGCTGGACCAACAGCAGGGCGCACGGCCGACGCGTATGAGAAGGGTGGCACGGCGAGGATGCACGCCACTGCGGCGCCCATGTGTGTAAGCCCCCTGCGCCAAGGACGCAACGGCTATCCCTGCATTGGGTTTGCGTCTCGCCCTTACCGCGCGCACGGGCCAGAACAGCCACCGAGGCCCCCCCCCCCGAGATCCCCCGAGGCCCCCGCCGAGCTCCGCGAGGCTCCCCCCGACCTCCTCCGAGGTCTCGGGTCGGGCGAGAAGGGGGCTGAGAAGCAGCTCGCGCAGCTGACTTTCCCGGCGCCTCCCGGCGCCGGTAGGCGCCCATGCATCGAGACATGGGCCCCTCGGTGGGGCCGAAACCAGCTGCATACATCGGGGATGGACAGACCTCCCTTTAGTAAAACGTGGTTTGGTGAGAACGATCTGCGGCCAAAACCTGGCGGGCGCGAGCCTGGAAAATAACGGCCGCGGCGCCCTCTCGAGAACCGAAAAAGGACAACTCACTAATCGACGTGTCACTGTTGGGGGTTCTGTCCACCCCCGAATGCAGCTGACTTCGTCATCCCCCGTTCCCTATCCCCCCCTCCCTTTCGTCCGGCCCGAAGGCCCCCCGAGGCCCCGCGGAGCCCTCGGAGCCCTTCCCCCGCGACAGGCCACAGACTGGCCCCACGGCCTCTGCAGGCAGGCGAGGGCGTGCCTGGCTCGTCCTTCTGCTGGTTCTTCTTGGCCGGTGGGCCCGCCTCTCTGCTCAGGTCGTCCTCCAAAGGGCGGCTTGGTCAAGTCAGGAGCCGAACTCTATACACCGACGCTTTTTCCGGCCCCGCACTGGAGCTCGCACAAGAAAGCGGATCCTGGTGTATACGGGATCCTGGTGTATACATGTCTCGTTGCTTCGAAGGGAAAACGGGGAAACAAGTATACACCGCAACACCCCGACGTCGCCCCCGACCCTCAGAAATTCCTGGGATTGCAGAACATCCCGCCACTGGTAACGTACATGTCCCAGTTCCCGACCAAGAGCATGGGGGGGAAAATGATGAGGGGAACAACTCCCGAGAGCCAGGACACCTGATACAGGGTCGAAACATTGCTTAGATTTCATTGGGCGCGTGTCGTTTCAATCAGTTGTAGCAGGGCAGGGTACCCAAACAGTCTGGACAACTTTACAACGAATGCCGCCACCGTCGAACTGGCACGTGTTGTCCGTGTCGTTGCTGGTACATACAACATTTCGATCTGTACCATATAAGTGTAATCTACCAAGTCGAAATAATCTGCTCGTGTTGCTGGCTGTTTGTTCCTGAACTCTGCATGTGTGTACACATGTACATTTGAATCGATTCTAGCGCAGGTCAAAATTAGGATGGCGAGCGGTCTTGCGCAATCCCTGGGTGCGTGGTGAGGTGGGGCTCCTTGGTGCGGGTCATTGTTGTTTGTTTTGCTGTCGTCCCCGACCCGCGACCCGCGACCCGTGTCGCGACCCGCCTCGCGACCGACCCACGACCCGCCTCGCGACCTGACCCGCGACTCAGTTGCGTTCCCCCCGCGACCCGCCGCGCGACTCAGCAGCGACCCGCCGAATACCCATCCGCAGCGCAAAAACGTTGCTTTCACAGAAGTCAGAGCCCACACCAAGCTCGCTGTGCAAGCAAATCGGCGCTTGACGCCGGTTTCCTGCATCCGACGTCGAACCTCGCAGCCTGCTGCCGACCCCCCCCCCCTCCCCTTCACCCTGGACCGCACAGGACCCCTGGGATGCAGACGCTGCGTTCTCTGACCTCGCGGGCTCCCAGATCGTAAGGGAGAGGGGGGAGGATGAGGAGGAGGGAGAGGGTGGAAGAGGAGGAAGGAGAGGGCGGAGGAGGAGGAGGAGGAGCAGGAGGAGGAGGAGCAGGAGGAGGAGGAGGAGGAGGAGGAGGAGGAGGAGCAGGAGCAGGAGCCCACTCGGCTTCCGGACGTCTCCGAGCGGCGGGGTGGGCGCGCGGCCGTGCGCTCTGCAGGGCGGGCCCCGCCCGCCTCTTCCCTCCTCGCTTCCTCCTCCGTCCCCCTGGTCCTCTACAGGGCAGTTCTTAATCCATAGGATTTTTAAACATATAGGATTTTTTAATACATGATTAAGATATGCAATGACTAAATGTGTGCATGAAGTCATCGTTGTTTTCAGAACTGAATCCCTGCATTTTTCATGCATGATCCGCACGCGGAACATGTATGAAAAACGGCACTGTATACTGGACCTACTGCACCGTGCTCCATCTCCCTCCTCGTCCCTCTCCTCCCCTATATTCCATATTGTCTTTCGTCAGATCATCGTCATCCCCTGGCGAATGCGCGTCTCCCTTGCTCTGATCTCCTGACCCTGGAAACCCTTCATTTGTATCCTGTACACAGACGGGCCCTTAACGGCGTCGTCCGGCACAGCTGTGATGTTCCTCTGAGGAGATGTGAGAATGGATGCTGTCCTGCCGTTGGCATCCGGGGAAGCCCCCGGGACTATAGATCGAGCTCGGCTGGCTATCTGGGGCGGGGTGCGGCGAACGCGAGAGATCGCGGCGCCTCTGCAGCAGCCGACCCGACCTTCCGCGGCGAAGATTCCGGCGGCGGGTGGGAGACGTCGCATGGGCGTCGCGGCAACCGTGGCCGGGCCGAAGCTGACGAAGGTGACCGTGGGCATGGAGCACATTCAGTGAAAGGAACTAGGAGGGGTCGCACGCATCCCTCGGATGATGCCCCTGCTGGCAAGCATCGTCCCTCTGGCAAGAAGTGAAGACAGGGGCAAGGAAGCGTACTGATCGTGACGATGGAACGTGGACTTCAGGAAGTAGCCGGTTGGCATGCAGGTCTGGGTTGAGGCTGGGATGTCAGCTCACGGTGAACGAGGTCGAAGCGTTGTCCAACAGAGTGACCCTGGGGGGCCGGCCGCGGGCCCGGTCTAATGAGAACCAGGACTACGTCGAACGACCGAGCTTTCACCTTTCAAGCAGGAGCAGGTATCAGAACCAGGCGAAGGCTGGCAATTCCTTGGCTGCTAAAGTCGAGCTCCGGGAGATTGCTTTTTCCTTCCTGGAAGCAGCCCGTGGCCTATTCAGCGCGCTGAGTTCTATTCCAAGAATATGTTTTTTTTGTTCTTCCGGGAAGGCCGTTTTAGCAGCCACGGATCTGCCAGCCCTCGCCCAGCTTCCGAAAGTACTACTCGGACGGATGGCGCTGTAAGATCCTCTTTTGGGTCGGAGGCCCCTGACGAGAAGTGCCGAAGGCTGGCGTGGGCGTGAAGTTGCTCAGGTGCCCGCCGCAGGGGGGAGTCGCTTCCGTCTCTCTTTTTTGGCTGTCGTGCGCGTGCCGCTGCACGCGTTAGGCTCAAGACAGATGCGTGGAGAGGACGCAGCCAACGTCTTCGCGGGAAAAGGGTGCGCGCGCCTCTTGCTTAGCGCGCACGTATCAGGCTGGGACGCCAAGATCTCAGGCCCTGCGCCCCCCCCCCCCCCCCCCCAAACCACGCAGTGAAGGCCACTGCGGCGAAGGGCGGCCCCTCTTGCGCGTAGCCTCGGCGAGCGAGGTGCAACCTGTTACATGAGCATACACTTCCGGAGGTCCGGGCGGAGTTCTTGGATCGGCGCTGGGCCCCCCTCCCAGGGGCGCTCCGCGTGCCAGGGGGCGGCCCCGGAGGCGCCGCCATGCGGGCTCCAGCGCCGATCTGAGAAAGCCGCGCGGACCTCCGAACAGTTGTGTCAAGGGAGATTGTTGCTCCACGATTCGCGACCGAGGTGGCTGGGCTGTGCTCTCAGTCGGCGGCGCGGACAAAAGGGGTAGGCGGAGGGGGGAAGGCTTCTTGGCTTCTCAGAAGGAGGCTGCTTCTTAGAGGGCACCGGCCCTACGTTTACAAACAAGGCCCGCGCCTACTAGGAAACAGGGGTGCTTCTACAGAGGCCTTCTAGATGGGGTCGGAGTAGATGGGGTCGGAGGATCGCGCCGCATCGCCGACACATCGACGATGCATCGGCGATGCATCGGCGATGCGCCTGCCATGCATCGTCGACGTCGGCGATGCATCGGCGACCTCGACGTGAAGCAAATCGGGCTCCACATCGAGCTGCATCGGCGATGCGGGCGATCCTCCGACCCCATCTGCTCGGACCCCAGCCAAGAGGCCTAGCTCCTAAGAAACTCTCCCCCCCTCCCACTAGTTACTGCCGGTCCGTGTCGTGCCGACGTCGGCGTTGGCTTTTATGACACCGCGGGGATTCTTCGACCTGGAAAACGATCGGCCTATTTGCGAAACGTCCGATCGTTCAACATCGACCGATTCTGGGCTGCCGGCGGCGTTCAACGTGGTACGCCGGCGGCAGGGTCGCGGCCGGTCGACACGACGCGAACCCCCTCCTCCTACTCCTCCTCCTCCTCCTCCTCCTCCTCCTCCTCCTCCTCCTCACCTCCTCCTCCTCCTCCTCCTCCTCCTCCTCCTCCTCTCCTCCTCTTCCTCCTCTTCCTCCTCCTCATCCTCCTCCTCCTCCTCCTCCTCCCTCCCTCCTCCTCCTCCTCCTCCTCCTCCTCCTCCTCCTCCTCCTCCTCCTCCTCCTCCTCCTCCTCCTCCTCCTCCTCCTCCTCCTCCCTCCTCCCTCCTCCTCCTCCTCCTCCTCCTCCTCCTCCTCCTCCTCCTCCTCCTCCTCCTCCTCTCTCCTCCTCCTCCTCCTCCTCCTCCTCCTCCTCCTCCTCCTCCTCCTCCTCCCCCTCTGCGCGTGGCCGACCCAAGACTGCCCTGGGGCTCCCTCGCCGGCGCCTCGCCCCGTTACAGCTCCAGAAGCTAGTCGAGGCCGCGGCAGTGCGGGCATCTGACCGCATTGCCCTCAGCCGTATTGGGGCTGATCCTGCAGTGGCGCATGGACACGGCGACGCTGGCGGCGATGCGCACCCTGGCGCGCTGCCAGTGTGTCATTGTGTTGGAGTGGCCTCGCACCGCTCCTTCGACGCACGAGTGCTGGTTGGAGTCTCCGGCATCAACGCGCCCTGCGAGCAGGCGTCAGCAACACAGGCTGGTGCCAGGCGCGTCTGCTCAGGTACGGACTCGTGCATGATGAATTGTGCAGGCGATGCGGATGCGCCCTGGGTACGCTTTGGCAACGTTGCTACGATTACCCAGCTCACCAGGCGCTTCGACGAGACCGCGTCGGGGCTCGCCATCGCCTTCGTGCCACCCGCAAGGCCCTTTTCGGAACACCCCGCGGCAGTTCAGCGAGTAGTCCGAACTGGGGAGCGTAGTGATCTCGACGCCCCTTAGTCCGCGCGGCAGGGAGAGGGAGGAGGAGGAGGAGGAGGAGGAGGAGGAGGAGGAGGAGGAGGAGGAGGAGGAGGAGGAGGAGGAGGAGGAGGAGGAGGAGGAGGAGGAGGAGGAGGAGGAGGAGGAGGAGGAGGAGGAGGAGGATCAACTCAGGTATACGATGTCAACAATTTTGTTCGCGACGCCGGATCTCGGAGACGGCCGCGGGCCTCTCCTCGACGCGAGACCCCGCAGACCCGAGGGCTGGCGCCTCCGGAGGCCCGCCCAGAGCTCGCGGAGGGGGGCCCGCCCTCGGCGCGGGAGCAGTCCACGGAAGCCCACGGGGCGTGCTTTAGCGCCTAGGCCTCTGA